ATTGATGATGCCGATGATTTTTCACATAGTTGCTAGTCGTATAGAGCTAGTCTGGCGTGGAACTATACAACACCCAGTTGGTTGTCAGCAACGGTGGTATACATACCTTAAGTGGGTCGGAAAGACCCACACCCTAAATCAGTACGACAAATCAGCCGTACATCCTTCCTGTTGAAAGGACTTGAGAGGATAATGGACGGATACATCAGGGTGGTGGCATTATATGCTTCCCCCATGAATAACCACCAGTATGCTTATCAAACCGGCAAATCGACAGATTTAGCATGAAACAGCCTTGAAGAGAAAATCTCCCACTCCCTTGACAACAAGGAGATTGCGGCGGTTGCTATATTTCTCGATATTGAAGGAGCATTTTACAATGCACTACCTAAATCAATAGGATCGTCTCTGGATAGGAAAGGTAAAGAATCGACCATAACTGGCTGAATCTATGCCATGCTGGTAAACAGAACTGCATCTACGACTCTTCAAGGCGAGGTCATTAGGTTCAAGGTCACCAGGGGCTGCCCTCAAAGTGGAGTACTATCTTCCCTTCTGTGTTCGCTCCTTATGGATAGTCTGCTTGATGCCCTCAACAGAAGAAAAGTAGATCTGCAAGCTTATGCATATGACCGTGTCATCTTGGCAAGGTCCACGCCGGGACCCTTCCCGGCTTGTAATATCCTCCAAAGCACGTTGGACGTTAATCAGCGTTGGTGTCTGAGGGAGCAGATGTCTATCAACCCCAGAAAAACTGTGATAATCCCCTTCACCAGGAGGAGAAAATTGGACGATCTCACGCCACTTTCCTTCAACGGTAAGGTCATTCAATTTGGAACTGAGGTTGAATATCTTGGCATTGTCCTTGGCCCAGGCGAAGCTCTCTGGCTTACAGAGACAGGCTTGTCTGGCCATCAGAGGTGACATCAGTACCACACCGTCAGCGGCCATGGAGATCCTACTAGATATACCTCCTCTCCACATTTTTCTCGAGAGAGAGGCTAGATGGACTTCATACAGACTTGTGCACATTGCCAATTGCACAAATCAATTTAATGCAGAGTGCAACAGACTGTTGGTTGACAGTGGAAGTCACAGCGTTCTGGAATAGATCTCTGACTTCATGCTCCAACTGTCAACTATGAACTGCCTTATAAAGTACTGTTACCGAGTAGAGAGGATTGGCTCCTCCGGGAGAAGGAAATATTAAGAGCAGATAGTTGTTGGTTTACAGATGGATCAATAACACCTTCCGGTTCTGGTGCAGGTGTTTTTAGTCGCAGACCCAGGACAGAGATATCTATTTGCCTATGCGACTGTATTTCAAGCGGAAATTTACGCTATTGAATTGTGTAGGGAGAGATTGGAAGAATCCAACCCTCAAACACAAGTTAATAAAAATATTCTCGGACGGTCAAGCGGCGTTGGAAGCTCTTGGCTCTAGCGACTCTCCTCAATAGAAAGACTTAATAGATTGTCTCTGGTTTGGATTCCTGGCCATACTGGCCTGAAAAGCAATGAGGTTGCTGACTCCCTTGCAAAGAAGGGTGCTGCAAGCAGCTTCATCGGACCAGAACCTGTCATTGGCATCGCTTCAGGCTTTGCCAAACAAAGATTGAACACCTGCATGACAAGAAGATGTATGTACTTCTTAGCAGAGTCTTCCAGCATTGGATCACTCCAAGGTGTTTATTCACCTTTCAAAGCTTGATACCAAACAGTTGATGAACTACGGTATGGATGAACTACGATTTGTAACAAGCCTTCTTATAGGTTCACTGTCATTTGAATCATCACATGCAGAGGCTCGCACTGTCGGAAAACAGTGTGTGTCTGTCGCCTCTGTTCGGAAAATGATGAAACAGCAGAGCATATACCTTGTGCCTGCCCTGCTGGGGACCAAATCAGGTTTACCACTGACCATACAAACTAACCGGCTTCGTTAAGAAGCGGGGTTTATTTGGTCGAGTGTGAATAGGCGTGTGCCACAATAAACCCTTGCGGGTTGCGGGAAAGGGTCGAATAGATCCACTCACTTTGGACCTAACCTAACCTAACCTAGTCGTGAAGGGTTGAACACATCCTAAAGATGATGTAAATCGATTTTGTTGATTTTTATCAATGTTCCACAAAAAGTTTTCAATATTTCTCATTTGATTATGATAATACGAGTAATTCTGACAGAGACGAAAATAATCCACGGCTTGACATGCGTGGTCTTAGTATTCATGGTATTAGTTGTCATTAATTTACTATCGAAAATAAACTAACCCGGTCTTCGTTCGGTTGTACCCATTTTATAATTTTTACCCAATGATAATTTACACAAATACTAGTAATTCTGACAGAGACGAAAATAATCCACGGCTTGACATGCGTGGTCTTAGTATTCATGGTATTAGTTATCATTAATTTACTATCGAAAATAAACTAACCCGGTCTTCGTTCGGTTGTACCCATTTTATAATTTTTACCCAATGATAATTTACACAAATACTGAAATAATGCGTAAATCACAATTTTAGACATTCAGAACGTCTTCAACTCCGTACTAGCTCTTCAACGAATTACGAAGCATTTCAATCGAGATAGTGGAGTGAGAATTTCGAAAACGAGTGAGAAAACTTCGTCGCCCAGCCCATCTCAGATATTATTTTGATTTCTCCGCGATACTCACAAAAATACACGGCCAAAGCTTCTTCGTTATCTATCAACGTGATCAATTCACTCCCCTCTCTGGCTTCTATAACGTCTCCAGAAGGATCCTTCTGCGTTAGTAACCACTGGAGTATCTGATGTTCGTCGAACAAATCTCCGGCATAAATTACCGGCTCCTTCGACCCGATCTTGAAAAAGAGAATGGCCGGCAGAGCGAATACTCCCAGTTCTTTCGCCATCTGCTTGTCTTCGATCTTGACGAAGTTGATGCCGGCCGAATCCGCCTCGTCGTCGATGTGTTCCACTTCGGCCAGGACCCTGGGGCATTGTTTGCAGTCGCTGCTGTCTGAAACAAATCATTTGGAGGAGATGTCTCATATTTGTTTATGGATTATTGACAGGCATGGAAGTGATGTATGATGATGTACGAATGATTTTTTCATATTTGTTGATAGAATTGTCCACAGTATCACCTGGATTGAACCATCAGTTATGAATAGTTATGAAGCAAGTCAGTGAAGTTCGCGATAAGCAACGACCTAACTCAGATTATAAACGAGTCAACAAGCAATTTTGACCAGGCTGGGCTCAACAACCATACCAAAACTTATTCAATTTCTATAATATTAGGAGCAAGTTTGAGAAGAATAAAAAAATTGAACAGAATTTGGTGAATTTCATGATATTTGGTTTATTTGTGTAAATTATGCTAGATATAGGTGATTCCACTCTAGATTCTGTGTTTCTGAAATATTTGTATCAAATTTGAGGAGAACATTACAGAATTGAAGAAAATTTCGAATACTTGATTTATCCTGTGTATAATCGTGTTGATTATATGGGAATTGTACAACTTCTTTGAATTTGTTTCTTTATTTTATTCAATATTACGACATAATTTTGATGACAATTTTCAAAAATCGTGGTTGGTAATTTACGAACATGATAAACAGACATTTTTTCTGTAAGTTTCCGACTTTGTTGTAATATTTGAAAACGTTTTGAGTTGAATGATTTGATTTCAGTTGATTTCGGATTGATAGTTGCAATTTGGTTCACTTTTTTGTGGTAACGCGGTTCAGAACAGTGAGATGTTACCCCCCTTTTTCTGTAATAAGAGAGAATGTGTGTTTGTACGTATTATGGGTCCATATGTATATATATTTAGATATAAATGTATGCATGATTATATTAGGTAAGTGGTGTATGAGTACTTATAGTAGAAAGTATAATTGCTTTTCTGGGTGTTGATCCCTTCATTATTTTTGCGAAATTGATATTTTGCCACCTTCTTGGCTATATATCTCCGTTCGTAGGCAACTAAAAATACATCGGCGACGCACATATTGCTTCTTGATGATGCATGTTTAAAGTGTTCATTCTCACTGATACCTTACAAACACATCTCCGTTTGTAGGCAACTACAATTACCCGTCGACGCAACGCGCAAATCGTTATTTATAACGCAACACATCGCTGATTACTTTCGACTGGGAGCGTGGCGTCTCCTGTAATCCAAGCTACTTGGAGGTCGGATTCAGCGGATGGTTTGAGGTCGGGAGTCCTGGTGCAGGGTTTCTCACGTCGACCGGGTGTCCACACTAAGCATGGCGTCGATATGGGTGTCCTGGAGGAGTCCGGGACAGCCAGGTCGGCTAAGGAGAGGCGAACCGGGCCAGGGGGGAAACCCAGCAGCCAAAAGTCTCCGCGTCGTGCAGTANTTCTTTCATAGATTTGAAATCATAGAAGTATCATATTAGACAATCTCCGGGCTGATAAAAGTCACCATGAAATACTGTCAACCACTTTCAAACAAACGTTAAAACTGCAATTAGTCAATAATGGAAAAATAATTTTATACAGTAAGCGTTTCTTTATAAATGTGTAATGTTTCGAGAAGCTGCGTTTTTTCGTTCTAATTTAACTGCGAAATTTGCATTAATTATAAAGTTGTTGTTTTTCAACAAGTTTTGAGAACGGAAAGAAGAAGAGCTTTTCGAAAGTAAATCAATCATCGAAATAAGCCGAGTATATAGACAACATTTATCAGTACAACGAAGGTACTGAATGATTGCTTTTTTTTCAGTAGTTTATATTGCAACTTTTATATTGCAACGTTTCAGTTTACCTTTCTCATAGATATTTGCATAATTTTCGGATTGTAGAAAGTTGAGATCCACAAAAAAATCATGAAAACTTTGTTGTGTAGGAGTGCAAAGACACTTTTTGTTCTTCTGAAAATGGCAACCACATTTTTTGCAGATACGTTGAGAAGTGAACTCGAAATGAATAAGTCAAATGGAAACAATGGAAATAAAATAAAATAAACGTACAATACTCACAAAAGAAAACTGCCAGAAACGGAGACTCGTTCAAGAGCCTACTCAACATCCTCTCGTTGACCGACTCGATCTGATCCTCCAGCTCCCTGTTGTCATCGTCTATCAACCATTCCAACACCGACTGCTCATTCTGCAAGTCCCCCTCGAACAACAACGGATTCCCGTTCCGGAAATACACCAGAGCGGGGAACGTTTTGATGCTGTATCTCTTGGCCAGCTGCGGATCTTGTATCCGCACCAGGTGGATCCCGTACACGTCGCATTCGTCGTCCACCTGCTCCAACTCCTCGAGAATCTCCTCGCAGATGTGGCAGTTCTGCTTGTAGAAGTAGACGGCCAGGTACTGCGTGTCTTCCACCATCTTCTCCAGCATGACGCGCGTGATCAGTTCTATCCTGTCTTCGGTCCTCTGTTGGATCAGCCACTGAAGTACCTCCTCCTCTTCTTCGAGATCGCCTTCGAAAACTCCCCCGATGCCGTTTTCGAAGTACATCAGCACCGGGTAGTCTGTCGCTCCGTACTGCTCAGCTATCCTGAGATCTTGTGTTTTGACGAATTTGATGCCGTGTCTTTCGCAATCGTCGTCGATGTTTTCTAGTTCTTCGAGGATTGTGACACACTGCTCGCAGGTGTCGTCATCTGTAGGGAAGAAGTTTGTATCGTTAGAATTCAAGGGTGGAGAAAATGTAGTGAGAGCTACTTGGTATTGCTCGGTATTAAAGCAAGAGGGGCAGTGCGGTGAGAATGCTGGTAGAAATGAAAGAGATTTTTAGTGATCTAATATTCAATTTTGAAGGAAAGGTCAAGTTGAATGATTTCAGATCGACTCGAATCTTTGTTTTATTTCAATGGAAACGAAACCAGACCTGTGTGAACACAGAAACAGTCTAACAGATAGAAATGGTCCTGTCGATAAAGTCGCAACATTGAACTAAACTCGAACATGAGGTTGTAACTATGAACAGTAAAATTATACGCTGAGACTTTTATCACACTTTTGTAATCGAATGGTATTTAAATGGTTCATTTTTATGAACAAAATATATTGTATAGGGTTGCAATTTATTTCTATATATCTATATTGAAGTCTTACGTTTCTGTCATTTCTTCGTGCATATCGGAAAACTTTTTTTGTATTGAGAATGAAGAAAAGTTATATTTTTTCCCCAGAAAAAATTGTCCCATTTTGTAGCTCACAGTACATGAACCGTGTCGATTTCCACTTCTCACAACTTCTAGAAATTTAAAATAAACTTGAACTCCCCATAATTCAATTGTTGTTGACCTCATCTGGTGCCTTTATCCCTTTTGAATCGAAAAATAACGATCTACTGAAAAAATTCATAAAGACCAAAATCGTAGAAAATTTGATTTCATTCAATTTTGTTCATTACAATTTTTGTCGTAAAATTGAAATATCCGGAACGTTCGTTGACGATATAAAAAAGGTCGCTCTCCGTCCCGAAGAGTAGTCTGAACCAAGAAAGCGAATCGAGCGGTTAACAAACAGTGAAGATAAATTAAGCGTTAGTTACTGAGTGGTGTAAATAAATTAGTTGTGATAGTGAAGTATTGTTAAAATAAATTTGTTTAAGACAGTTAATTCTTTAATTCGTTACAATATGATATATCTTATGTAAACCACAAAATTCGACAATTCTAGTTTTTGGAGAATATTTCCAAATTAACCACTAATATTCTCGATCAGAAAAGAAATTATTCTAATTCCCCAAAAAAGGAAACTTTTGTCCAATTCAACCGAGCTTTCAGAAATAGCAATAGTCAAAAAAACCGACCGTCATAAGCCATATAATTCAAATTGATATTTAAAATATTGAAATAGGTGAGACATACAATTAATGAGGGTTCTAACTGGTTGAGGGCTGCAAATGTCTCATATCAAAACCTATTTCATTAACAGTAATAAATTTTTCATAATTTCTACTGATAATATAACCAACCCTCTGTCGTGCGAATATTTTTCCAAATACTCGTAATATAAGGTGGCTTAGGCTAGGACGTTAAAAAAATGATACTGTTCCTACAAACATGGCAAGCAGAATTTATTACCCGTCTCGCCTCTGACTTAAAAACGGAAAACCAATAAGGCTTTCGCAATATTCTCTGGTTACGCAAAAAAAAAGAGTAACAAGACAAGCGTAATAGTCTTCTGATTGGTTGTTTTGACGTAAACATGTGGCCATGCCGTATCACTCAAATACAAGAAGTAAGAGTACGCACGTGGTCGGTTTTCCACATGACAAGTTTGCAAAAATTCCAAGTAATTTTTCGTGTAACCCGTCGAAACTACAATGCAAGTGTTTAAAAGTTTAAATAGTGTTCATAGTGATGTTCAACCACATATTTCATGTGTATATTTTCAAGTGAATTTTTTTTACATTACCTATTCTGATAACCTAAAACCATTCTTTTTGAGGAAGTCATCAAAGGGGTGAGTCATTCATTTCATCCGACTTGTAATATAAATTCACAGAAATTGCTTATTATATTGTGAGGTTATGATTTTTTTCAATGCACAAAAAGCTTTTACTAGTAATTTTTTTTTCAAATGATATAACCTATTGTACAAATGTCTATATATGAAATATTCATGATAAAGGGCATAAAATAGGAAACTAAAATTTGTGTTTCTAATTGTGTTCACATGTCTATTTATTAACGATTGCTTCTAACTCTAATGAAGTTCTGGTTTTCATCTGGAATTGCAAGTGATGGTAAACACGGTTATGCACATGCAACAATTATTTATTCGACATTTGACTAAACTACAGAAAATAATTCCATATAAATAAAACTCTTTCATTAAATAAATATTTTAATTATACAAGATACAAATTTGAAACAATCGTTTTAAAATTTCTCGAATCAATGACAGCTGTAGGTAAATATTTCAATTTGGCATAATGGCACACATTGCCATTGTGCAATGGCAATGTGTGCTATTGTGCCATGTGTGCCATGCAATTTTCTAGGTAGGTATAGTTCTTAGTTCTTAATCTTTGTCAAGTTTCCATAAACGTTCTTAATTATTTGTTATAAACGAACTCTCAATTCTTAGTCTTAGTCTTAAGNTACTTTTACCCAAAACTCCAATATTAGGTTTTCGATTACCACCCTGTATATTTCATTCCAAGATGAAGATATTAAAAGTTATTTGAAATATTTTTAATTCATATACTATATAAATGATATTACTAGGCCTCCCTGCCTTGATCATTTCTTCATAAAAACAGATGTCAATACCCACGATAATCTAAAATCATACCTTTTTCTATAAAAATAACTGATCATCATGCCATTGCATTGATTATGAACCTAGTTACCACTGAATGCAAAATAACACTATGGAAAAAATATGTTAACTATGACAAATTGAGATTATATTTGAAAAATGAAATATGGTTTTATATTGATCAATTAAAAGACAATAATGTTATTTCAGACATTTTCATTAAAAAACTCGAATTATGAATTCTCAAAAATATAACTGAAATGAAGATTCGAAAAAAAATTCAAAGTGAAAAGAAATAGACATCCAAAGATTTGTTGAAATTAAAAATTAAATCAATAATCTTTATGAAAAAAAACAGTACTGTATCCCGAAGACCTTCAATTCGAACAATATAATAGTTACAAAAATAATCAAGAAAAACTCATTCCGATAGCCAAGAACGGTGAGTATAGATCACAACATCAAGAAAAAGTATTTGATTATGAACCCTTTCGAACGTAAATAACAAACACGTACATATTGCTTCTTAATGATGCCTGTTATGTGGTTTACTAATATAACATGCCTGTTTTAAGTGTTCATTCTTATTTATACCTTGCAAACACATTTCCGTTTGTAGGCAACTAAAAATACACCGTCGATGCACCGCGCAACTCGTTATTTATAAGGCGACTCGTCGCGAATAACTTTCGACTGGGAGCGTGGCGTCTCCTGTAATCCAAGCTACTTGGAGGTCGGATTCAGCGGATGGTTTGAGGTCGGGAGTCCTGGTGCAGGGTTTATAAATTACACCAGTGTTATATTCAATAAATATCTCAGAAACGATAAGAATACTAATCGTTTTCTGCGGAAAATATAAAACCATTCTGAATTTTGAGATGTATGAATTTTTGTTGAGCCATGCTGAGCCTCTTCATATGTCAAGAACAAGAGAGCTAGCAATTGTTTCCGGTGTTCTACGAATCAGTATACAGCTTATTTCAAAAAGTCACAAATTTCATCCTTACAAAAATAAATTGACACACTGAACGGTATAGTTATTCACCCCAATTGTCGTTATTAGACTGATTTGAATTACCACATATTCCATGTTCAAGTTGGCCCTTCATTATTAGAAGGGAAACTGTATCTGAAACTGGTTAAAGATACAGTTGAACTCATTGGTGGGCGAGGTTCTATCGAATGTCATCCACGATCACCAGACCTGTCTCCCCTAGATGTCTTCCTGAGGGAGCCTCTAAGAAGCAGAATTCAAGCAACTCAAATTTTCAAGGTGGCTCTTAACCCCACTGCTCGTTGGTTGAATTGACGGTGCTGCATGTAGAAAAACAAAAAATCCCCCTTCAATCTGTAATCGATCTGTCCGAGCGTTCATTCACATCAATGATACTTTTACCCAAAACTCCAATATTAGGTTTTCGATTACCACCCTGTATATTTCATTCCAAGATGAAGATATTAAAAGTTATTTGAAATATTTTTAATTCATATACTATATAAATGATATTACTAGGCCTCCCTGCCTTGATCATTTCTTCATAAAAACAGATGTCAATACCCACGATAATCTAAAATCATACCTTTTTCTATAAAAATAACTGATCATCATGCCATTGCATTGATTATGAACCTAGTTACCACTGAATG